GGTGAAATTCTCTGGCTTATGTTATACAAGGTCAGACCTGAAGATCTAATGGTCCCTTCTGGCCTTAAAATCTGTGAATTTGGACCATACTTTTAAAAAAATGTCTATTTCTCCTTAGTTTTAGGTTACTACTTCCTGTTCTACTTACAATAGCTAATAAAATACTTTCCTCCCCTTTGGTTAATCCTTAGAGGTATTTATAGCTTGTCATGTCACATACTTAGTCATCTTTTCTGTAAGCTTCCCAAAGTTAGGTCAGATTCACCAAACCTCTTCCTTACTCTCTTTTTGTTACTATTATTTGTAATCTCTGCAATTAAACTCTGTGGCATTTGTCTAAGGCCTAAAATGGCAAGCAATTCTCTAAATGTGAGCTCCCTGATGTGACATAGCAAGAATAACCCCATCTCTGGCCTACGTGTAACACTTCTATTTATGTATTCTAATAGAGCATTCACGCTAGCTGTGGTAGAATCACATTGCATGCTGGTTTTCAGTTTAGGGAATTACCACCCCTGCAGTAGGTCATATAAGTAAGTCATATCTTTGCAACCAACCACCCTTTTTACGTATTCCCAATGAAATACCTTACATTTATCTTGATCAAACTATAATGTATTAATTTCTGCCAATTTCTTCTAACCTCTTTGTATCCAGTTGTAGGTTAAGCATTTTCAGAAGTATCATCACCCCTAGCATTACATAGCGTACATAGCAAGTATATATGTTCTCTATACATGTATGAACATACTGATGACAGAACAGGTGCTCTTCCTGTGTCATGCACAACCACCTGGAGAAAATGATTTGCTGACTGCAGTGCAAGATTGCAGAAAGTAATGCACACTCCCAATGAAGAGAAATTTTCCAGGTACAAAACTTTATCATTCCTATATTTGATGTGTTTGATGGAGCAATACCACCACCAAAATTTCATTTTAAAATAAATGTGAAGGCATATTAAGTCATGGGACAAAAACTGAATCAGAATGCACAGAACATTATTCTGCACATGCTTAAAAGTCCTCTAAGGTGAACTGTCAGTGTTGGCAGACCTATGGATTTTGTTCTGATTCATAACTTTATCAACAGACATACCTACTTCACTATTGTGTGTCATTTTGAGCAAGGAACTGAAATTTGAAATAATTCTATGCCTTTTACTAGTCTTGATTACTGTTAGGAATGGCGCAGACAGTAGTGGAGCAATGTGATGTGCACATTTGCACCACAAGAACAATCCTGTCCAGAAGTATGTGCAAATACTCACACATGGACTTTACACACTGCAGTAGTCACAGCCTGGAAAGTTATGCACTTGTCTAAGTCTGTGAGTTCAAGGATATACTTAGGAATGTTGAGCTCGCTGTTAAATCATTGCCCCAGCTAAAAACAATGTTGCGATCCTGATCAATTTTTTCAGTGAGAATGTTTTTTCCTTTCAAGTGTGTTTTTTAAGATAGGTTCACGTTTTGAACTCTACATTTTTATTATGTCCCTGTGATTTAAAAAACAAAACTCGTATCTTTTTTTATGGCAATTGTCATCATGAAGAAAGTCTTTTGGACCAAGTTGTAATAAAATTAAGTTACTTAAGATTCTTCCATCGTTCCCACCCTCAAACACCTCCATTAGCTATGCATTCATGTCAAGAATATGGCATGATTTCAAAACTGCCCTCATTTTTAGTCTCTTCCCTGGACTTCCTCCAATTATCATGGACCTTGCCTCTCAGCTCCCGTCCCTGCTATCCCAACACTTGCTTCTATTCTCTTACTCCACACTAGACACTGTTGGCACAAGAGCCTTCTGATATTTGGAACAGCCTTAGTATATCGCTCCACCTCACTGACTCACCATCTCACTACAATTCTCATTTAAAAATGTATTGGGTAAAATTCTGACTCCTACTGATGTCAATGGAGCCATGATTTTACCCACTCTTTCTATCCATTGACCATACTGTTTACGCTGTGTCTCCCTCTGCTATTTATGATTAAACTCTGTTGTTAAAGTTGCAACCCGAAACCAAAATATTTAATGGCAAACATGCCAATTTTTTGCAGGCATCTAATTTTTATAATGGCACAATAAAAGCCAACATTTTATTAAAGTGTAATTTAAGACAATTTTTACTGCAACACAGTTATGTCCGTGCTGTGCCATTTTTTTTCACTTCTTGGCAGTGAACATAATACAGCTTGCACCAACCACAGGTTTGCAGATGAAGTGCATGCACATGGAAACTTTGTCAGCTACAAATATTTTTAATAGTAGCATTTTTTTGCCCATTTTTTAAAGCACCTGTCTATCAATTTACCATTGCTCCCCCTCGCTGTGCTATATTTGGGGTTCAGTTTGTATAAAAATAGCTAAATAAAATAAGGCTCCAATTCTGCGATGAGCAGTGCTCTACACCAAATTCCATTGATTTCCATGAGGGCACAGGTCTCTGTGACATTCAGTGATTAGAAATTTAGCAAGATGCAAAGAGAGATTGGACATTCATATGGATAACATGAATATCTAGAGTTATAATAGCTAATGCTAATAGATTTTGGAAGAGATACTAAACCTCTTGCTTCAGGCACTAATCTTATTTAAGGGGCAGATTATCCAGCATCCATTTAATCCAAGGTTTCTTGCTCTTTCTTCTGAAGCATCTGGCCATATCTAGTACCTGTCACAATCAGAGACAGGACTGAATGAACCCCAGGTCTGATCCAATATGGCATACTGGGTATATATTCATCTGAAACACACAGGAGGATCAGAGCTTAAAGGTCCACAAGCATAGCTGCCCTGACTTAGATATGATATCATTCTTTTGTATTCACTTAACTTCCCTGAACACATAATAATACCTTAGTTCACTCTAAGTATTCCTGGTTTCCCTCAAGAAAAAACATTCTGATTATTTCAAGATCACTATTTGGCAATTTTTTTTTCTGGGATCACCAGATTGCTGGTTTATGAAGGGCTTGGTTGTTGGGAGGTTTTCTGAATTGTGGCGCTTTTGTACCTGAAGATCACTTGATCACCTGAAGAAGGAGAAAGAAACCTCAGTGACTTAAGTGCACATCTACAGCTAACTAGCCTGGCCACCAGCTACAGCAAAATTGGTGGAGAAATATTTGTTTAGACAAAAATGATAGATGGGAGATATCATAATAGGAACATCAGCGGAAATAAGCCATTCATTTTAGGAAAAAAAGACACTGGAAGTGCTCATCCCAAGCTTTGGACACCCCTTTAAATTTTAATATCCACATTTTTAAAAACACACACATCAAGTCCTTTAAAATAACTACCACTGCACTCCCAATCATAAAATCTGGGCCTAAAAACAAAGCTGTCCCATGCCAATAACTATCATCCCCTGCCCCAAATATTACAGAAAAGAGATGCACCTTGTGCACAAGGCTAACATATCCAGGCTAAGGCAGACCAAGTTGGAAACTTGTTCCATGGACAAGACCCTTTCTGCAGAAAGGCCTGCCAGCAGCTCCCTCAGTTATATTCTGAAGGTAGGCTTGCCAATTTTGGTTGGCCATATTCCTGGAGGTTTCATCGCACAACATAATCTTTAATTAGATTAATCTTTAATTCCTGGAAACTCCAGGACAATCCTGGAGGGTTGGCAACCCTGACCAAAGGAGTGCCAACACCTGGGATGATTGCAATTACAGTAATATGGCACCAGGGTTGGACAGAGAGGGAATCTTCCAGAGTGTTGCCAATGCTGGTGACAGCTGACACTTTTCTTCAAGCCCCAGCTCCTGCTGTCAAGTGATTTTCTGAGGCTCTCATATTTCATTTTTCTTTGTAAAGGGTCATGTCTTCAAGAGAAGAACTTGAACACCTGACCCAGGTGCAGCCTAAAGGTCCGGAAACCAGAGGCAAATAAAAGGAACCTAACATTTATTTTAAAACCTCATCATTTTAGGGCCCTGCCTTAGCATTTCCCAGCACTTGGTGTGGCAATAGGGCTTCCAGGTGATCTACCCCCAAGCCATTTAAGCCTTTAAACATCAAGGACCAACACCGGACATTACACCCCACAACTCCAAGCCAGAGCAGCTCCCGCAGCAGGGGGTTGCAAGCACTAAGCAAAGGGGGGGGGGGCGCACCGGGGCTTGCAACAGGCACAGCGGGCAGGTCACAAGCCATCAGGAGAGGACTCGGAAGCGCCCCGCTAGAGGGAAATTAACCGAACCCGGGCTCCGCTAGCGGAACGGGAACGCCAAGGGCGGGATGCTGCTGCCCAGGGGGCTGCACCGCACCAGGCACGGCCGCCCGCGGGGAGCGCTAGAGAGCCAGCCCCGAGGATAGGACGGGCGGAGCAGCCGCACCGCTACACAGGGCTCCGGGGGGGCTGTTTTGCAGTCTCGCTACAGCCTGGAGATCTCGTCTCGCCAGGGTCCCGGGGGGGCCTCCCACCCCATGCACGCTAGAGCGGGAGCGTCCCTGACACTCGGGGCTCAATGCACACACGAGCGGCCATCGCCCGGGAATTGCTGGCTGCAGCTTCCCGCAGGCGGCTCTGCCTGCGCAGCTCAGCAGCGCCCCTAGCACCTATCGACGGCACTAGACCATCCTCCCCACCCCCACCCAACAGCACAAGCAAAACACTCCAGCCTGATATTCTCTCTTCAGCCCAGCACTTTCTGCTTTATATACCCTGCTAAAAATAGCCTGCCGCCTAGCCCACCAATCAGGACTGGGCGAATTTCGAATCGCGCCAATAGCATGAGCCGTCACGGAGAGGCTTGGTCACGCCAGGAGGGGCCGAGATGCCTCCTGCAAGGCGATTGGGCTGATCTGACATCATTGGAACGCGGTGTAACGAGTTGGTGGAAGAGATTGGGCAGTGCTCCGAGCCGGCGTAATAGGATCACGAGGGGAGGGGGGAGGGAGTAGAGGAGAGGGAGGGGGGAGAGGAGCGAGGAGGCGGAGGCTGTAGCGGTGACTGTGGCCAAGGAGAGCTTAGAACAGGGAAGTTTTGCAGGGGGTTACATTTGCAGTCAGCTCAGTGTTTGCAAATATTGTGCAGGCTCCTGAGCAAGTGTCCTCTGCGAGCCACAGGAGAGTAGAGCAGCGGCAGCGTTTGGAGACTTTGTTAATTGCTGTGCAATTACATTTTGCATGAAACTTTGCTTTTTTTTTCCTTCCCAATCTCCAAAAGGAATTAATATTTTTTTTGTATTTTTTTCTTCTCTGGAGTAAAGGGGGGTTTGGAAACAGACTATATATTGAGATCCCCCCCCTCCCCTCACATACCTCCTCTGCCCATAGAGGAGGCATCTGTATTTTTGTAACCAGAATTGACTTTGTTGTTGCAATTTAGACATGGATGTTCTCCCAATGTGCAGCATCTTCCAGGAACTCCAGATTGTGCACGACACTGGTTACTTCTCAGCTTTACCATCTCTGGAGGAATATTGGCAACAGGTAAACGAGGATGTTGTTGTTGTTGTTGGTTGTTAAGCCACATTAAAGGATGAGTGGATAAAAATGCCAAAGTGTCATCCGGGCATTTGGGGAGAATGCAATGGAGATGTTAACAAAAGTTTTGAAGCAGGTGTTTTGATTTTTTTTTTTTTAATTTTGAGGGGTTTTTAAATAAATGTATTTCTCAATGCAACTGAGTTTCTCTTTTTTAATGCATTCCCCATTATGAAAGGGACTGTCAGTTGAGAAAACAGGGGCCGATGTGTTTGAATGCGTTTTCTGTGTGGTTTTTTTTTTTTTTTTTTGAGCTCATCAAAAACAGCAACGACCAGCGTGAAATCCAAACTTCTGAGCTTTGCTTTCGCGTGATCCAGTGCAGTCCCTGGCGAAAGTTTTATGCCTGTATCAGGTCCAAACTCTACAGCTGGATCTTGTCATCTGAACTCCCCCTCCCCCTTATTTGCCAAGAATTGTTTTTCTCCCCATGGTGTGTTTTGGGGGTTTGTTTTGGTATGGGGGGGCTACTAGTTTTGAAGACGTTGCTAATGTAGAGGATTCGCGAAGCTCTCAATCTTGCTTTACCTGCTACCCTCGTTGTTGACTAGCCAAAAAAAAAATTTTTTTTTGCACAACCAATGAGTTGTCAGTCATATGACAGCGATCCTGTTTTGCTAATTGCCTCGAGTCTTAGTTTGGGAGGAGGAAGAACTGGGGCTTCTTGCCTTTAATGGACATGTTTTTTTCCCCCTCTGTCCCAGTAATTGGATTGCCTGAGATGAGATTGCCTTTGACATTTTTGCATTGTCTTGCTTTTTATTGGAGGGGAGAGGGTTGTTTACTATACTCCCTGCGGTGATGTTTGCGTTTAACAAATAGAATTACCAGATCAAATACTACTTGTTTGTATGAAAGACAAGAAACGCTTCAGGAAGGTTGAAATCCAAAGTGTTACAACCGTCACATGCCTACTAATTGTATGCAATTCCTCTCCCCCCCTCCCCACCCCCTCCCCAAAAGAAGCAGCTTCAATAGTACGTGATTGAAATTGATCTAAGTAGTTTCCTTCAAGCATTTGGGATTTTGGCAAAGAGCCAGAACTGGTTCCCAGTAGCTTTCAGACGCATTTAAACTCACAGAGCGCTTCATTTTGGTCCCCATTGCTAATCTACATAATGAGAAATTTAAATTAGCCAGAAAAATATTAGTTTAACAAGATTTTAATAAATGCTCTTTTGTGTTTCCTTGGAGGATCAATACTTTGTTATGCTGTGTCTTAATGCCTTTTTAAAATGTGTACTGCAAAACTGTTGTCTAGTGATAGGCAAAGACATAAATATTGATTGTGTGGCTTTTCCTTCCATTTTTGACCACGCTATCAATGACATGCGACCCAGTTCAGCTGAGTGGTGTTGGTGAGGGACCTCCAGACCATAACAAACCGTCCTTAGGTGGAGAGTTGGAGGGGTAAAAATGTAGCATTTTTGGATTGTCTGTGCTTGCAAGACTGTTTTGGGAGGGATAATCTTGATAAAATAAGTGCAGTTTTGAACAGAAACTTAGTAAGTAGGAACTGTCAATAAGGGTAGATCAACCATGTAGTACTTCCACACGGATAACTAACTTATAGTGGAAAACAAAAACCCATGGGCACAAAATTTCCTACCACTTTCTTCCCCTCAGAACGGCTAGAAAGTTTGAAATTGTAAAAGGAGAATGCTGATGGCTGCAGATTTAATCACTTGGAAGATTCTCTTGCCCCCCTCCCCTTATTTTTTTTTTTTTTTGGTGGGGTAATTATATGTCCCATTGCATGTATATTTGAACAGAGTACTTTCTTGGCTGATGGTCAGAATTTTAAAAGGAAGTCTCTTTTGGCATTACGTGAAAGAAATAGAGATGACTCATACAGTTGCACTCTTGGCCAGTAGATAAAGTTCTTGTTCATTGTGGGACTCCCAGCAGGACTTTAGAGTAATTTCCCTTTCTCCTTTACAATAGCACATTACTATTCTGGAACTTTTTCCCCTCCTTCTGTTATTGAAGTTCCTTATGTTATTCGGACCACTAATAGGAAGCATCTAAAGTTATGTGGTGTGCATGCCAGTGCACTTGGAATTGACATTCTTTGAAAGACTAGTAGGTCGAGTTCTCACACACAGGAAATGGGTGGTTATCTGCAGTTCCATTGATGTCCCCTGAATACGGATTGTCAGCTACTTGCAGCCATACTAGAATGTGGCTTTGTTTTGTGACACAGCACTTGGGTTTTTAACTGCGTGTCAGAGCACACTGTTGTATGCAGTGTTGTAGCTGTGCTTGGTCCCAGAGATAAGTTCGGTCACTTTAGCCTTGTGTTTGTGTGAGAGTGATACAAAATGACTTGATACAAAATGAAAAAATTAATAAAAGCCCATTAGAAAGTGTAAAAAAGCCTGATTAAAATGTGCTACATTTTATAGTGATTTCAATACTAGCCTTCTTAAAATATGAATTTTGTGATGGGGATTATAATTTGACTGACTCATTAGACCACTATTTGGAAAATGTTGACTGACTTACACCTTTAGCTTAGTGTTTGAACTCTTGCCCAGTTCTTGAAAACTTCAGTTCCTTTTACTGCAACAATCACCTGGTTATGGCTGGAATATCCTCTAATTTGTAAGGCACCTACCAATTTCAAATACCCTACTTTCTTGCATGCTGTTTGAAATTTAAAGCTCAACTCTCCTTTTTTAAAACCATTTTGTAAAATGTTTTTCTTTTTCTTTTCTTTTTTCTTTTGTAGACCTGTTTAGAGCTGGAACGATATCTTCAAAGTGAACCCTGCTATGTATCTGCATCTGAAATTAAATTTGATAGCCAAGAAGATCTCTGGACCAAAATTATTCTGGCACGTGAGAAAAAGGAGGAATCTGAACTGAAGAGTACATGTATTCCAAAAGAGGACAGTCCTAGTAGCCAGAATTTAGAGACCAACAGTTTGAATTCTGATGTAAGCAGCGAGTCTTCAGACAGCTCCGAGGAACTTTCACCTACTACTAAGTTTACCTCTGATCCTATAAGTGATGTTTTAGCCAATTCAGGAAACTTGAGTTCATCTGTCACTTCTACTCCCCCGTCTTCTCCTGAATTGAGCAAGGAAACTTCCTCTCAGCTATGGAATTGTATGCCAGGTGAATTGCATTCACCAGGTAAAATTCGTACCGGTACCATTGGAAAGACTGCAGAAAAAGGTACCCCAGTCAATGGCGACTCTTCACCGGATGGCCGGAGACGTGTCCACAGGTGTCACTTCAATGGTTGCAGGAAAGTTTACACCAAAAGTTCACATCTGAAAGCACATCAGCGCACTCATACAGGTTAGTAACCTTGTGTCTATTAGGAGTTGGAGACTACAGTAGGGAATACCCCGATGGCAGTGTTGTCATAACATTACATAATCACTGGGTGAAAGCCCAAGGATGGGAAGATGATTCAGTTATACCAGAGGCTTACCAGAATGAAAGACATCACTTCCGCATTCTCTTCATAAGCTGAGTTGAAGCCTCTTGAGTACAAAGATACTTCGGTGTAGACTGGTCTTCTGTCACAGATGAATGGTTTCCATTTGCTAATTAGATAGTGCTGAAGAAGTTGCAGAATTATTTAATCTTTGAAAAACTCCTTAAGTAATTTAGACAACAGATCTACTTTGCTGACAATTTTAAAAACAAAAGTAAATTTGAGACTTTCTCACAAAAGTAGGGATTTCATATAACTGGAAGTGGGGTAGATGCTTTCATAGGAAGAAGTGTTACTGGACTCTTCTACACCAAGGGCTATTAAGTTAATACAATCAAGACCTGTGGCTGTTAAGTATAACTGCAAATGTGCACTGGTTGTATAATATTAAAAAATACTTTTATGTGCACTAGTTTAAGCAAAAATCTTAGAAGACCAAACAATGTACCAGTCCTTCTGACATAAAACCAAACCAGACTTAGAAGTATGTATCACTTATTTCATGGTTTCACTTAAAATGCTATAGTGGGTTTTTGTTTTTGTTTTTTATTACTCTGAAACGTAGACTTAAAAAAATCAATATATGAGGTTGCTATGAAAGAGAGTAAAGTGGATAGGCATTCCAGGGCCTGCATAATTTTTTTATGGTGGTAGTAGCTGGCACAGTTATTTTTATTTTTTAGCATTAATATTCTACAGCCCTTGATGTCTGGAGTTAGAGATGTGTAGAGCAACTGGTTGGCTCACCAGTCACTGCTTAAGGAAAGGAGCAATGTTCTGCATCCTTAGTGTGCCAGTCAAGGGGTTATTCTCCAGAAATGCCAAATGTTTTTAATGAGGTGATGGAGAAGGGAGGAATTCAAAAGGAAGGACCTTACTCTGATTCACCAGCTCAGCATTCCTAATTTTTTTCCATTTGTGGAAGTCATTTAGCTGACTCATATGCTCCCATTCTCGTGTGGAAGTGAAATAAAACAAGGCACTTTCAAAAAAGAGGAAAGAGCAATTTCCACTGAAGTTCCAGTGAAGATTGTAAATAACTGCTAGCTACATAACTGTGTCAGAACTATTGCCATGGTTGTTTTGTGACTGGAACTATTTCTATGAATTGCTGGTAGTATTTCCCTCAAATGTTAACTGAAATCAGCAGCATTCAAACTGGTCATTGTGATTTTCCCTTGCTCTTCATCTAGTATATCTGGGTCAGCATGAAAAGGTTCCATTTTGTGCAGATAATCTGTGGGACAGTGGACTTTGAAGCAAAACAGTAACCTAATTATATCGGTGAATCAAAACATTCCTGGGCCAGATTCTGCCATCCTGGCTCATCTTGACATGAAGTTAATGGGACTACTTGTGGAGTAAAGTACTACTCTAGATGAACAAGGATGATAGTATCTGGCCCTTAACTAGCTTTCTTTTTATTCAATCTGTACTTATTAACTTCTTTCAATTAGGGTACCTTTTGTTTTAAACATGGCGATGTTACAGCTAAGTAGGAATCTTAATGATTCTTCAAGCTTCTGCCAACTACATTGTCAAAAACACTGAACTGTTCTGATTGAAAATGGGTATCCTTGTTTTTTATATATAAACAATTAATATTGTCTCATTAATTTTGAGTGAAGTCATGGTTAATCTATAATATGCTTTATTTATAGGAGAAAAGCCTTACAGATGTTCATGGGAAGGGTGTGAATGGCGTTTTGCAAGAAGTGATGAGTTAACCAGACACTTCAGAAAGCACACTGGTGCCAAGCCTTTTAAATGTAGTCACTGTGACAGGTATGTGAATTAAATTGAGCTTTTTTTTAAACAAAGTTATTTATAATGCTTGGTGAGAAGCAGGTCTAGGTGATATTTTTTGTTATAGAAGATTTATTCATAAAGAAACTGATGAACAAAATGCTTCAGTGAAAATTAATTCCATTCTCTTTTGAGGGCCTGACATTTTCACAATTAAAAACATCCTGTTACATGAATGACCTGGAATGTAGCTTGAGTAATGCACATCAATGAAAATGGAGTAATGTGAAACCCAACTTTCCTTCCTTTTGCAGGTGTTTTTCCAGGTCTGACCACCTGGCCCTTCACATGAAGCGACACCTCTGAATGGGTCAAGAGGTGAATCCTGTGGGCTAAGCGGCTTCAAGGTTGAACAGCCTTGAAAGGAGGGATGCGTGTTCCAGCCAAAGCATGCCATTTTGCACCCTACCCAGTTGCCTCCAGGACCTCTCTTTCTTGAAGGTCTTTTGAGGGCTAATAAGTCACGTAAGAAACGGCATGGCAACCGTGGTGCGTGATGTTTGGGGTTTCCTGGACTCATACACTGGTACCTAACCTTCTGAGTGGCTCCTAAGCCTTTGCCGTGAGCATGTGCACTGAGAATGTTAATGATTGGGTGACTGTTTGTTACTGAGGATCTATTGATGACTGTATGCTGAGGCACATTTTTTTCTTCTGGTTGTTTTATAACTGTAAGAGAAAAAAGTAGTCTGAATGTTTTGTATGTGAGGAATATACTGCAAGATGGGACGACCACCAATCATTTCCAAGGGGTGGGGGGAGGGCTGTCTGCACCTTCTAGAGGGAAAAAATGGAGAGAAGGAAAAGACAAAAAAAAGTCAGGACGCCAGAGTGGAGATGGGGGAGCCCCCCTTTCCTGTATGAGAGGAGCTTTAGGTGTCTGATGCAGCTATTAAACGTGCAATGTGTCAAGTAGCTTGTTTTACTTGCTACAGAGCTCATTTGTAATCCATTGTATAAGCTGTGTATTTACAAATATAACACAACTATAACTTTACATTATAATACAAAGGTTATTGCATGGTTCTGGGGAACTATATGCTTTTCCATTCTTTAATCAGGACTGCAGTTTTGATTCCAGTTAAGAGCAGCTAAAATACAATTGGTCTCATGTTACATAATGTATGGAACCTGAATAATTTTTTCGGTTGGGTGGATAAAACCACTATAGGTTAGAAACTGATTTTTCTCATGCAGCTAATTTTTCTCTTATTTATGCCTTGAGGACTAATTTCTGGTTTTCTAGCTGTTTAATGCACTGTTGACCTTAATAATGGTGCCTTATGCAAGTGACCTTCTCTTGCAGGGGGTCTTATACAGGGGTATGGGTGATGCATGCTTTATTAAGGCTCCTTTTTCACCTGGCATTGTACTGTATCAAATGTATGATGGGGGGTGGTGGTGGGGAAAAAGGCTACTTCCAGGGTCCTCCTTCACAAAGACAAATATAGAGAAAAGTCCTTCATGTCAGTACAGTATTTGTTTAACTTAGACAATTTGACTGTGTTACAGTATAATGCATACAGCAATTGAATACCTGACCAGTTCTGCCACCTTGAGACTTTTTTTATATATTGACCTTGCACAACAATTGTGTATATACACACCCAGCTGTACTTAATATGTAACATTTCAAGCATATTAAAGATACAGAAGTATTAAAAGATGTATTTGCTTAAATGGCACAAGTTTCACATCTATATATCTAGCTATCTGTTGGTAATACAGAAAGAAACTATAATACTTTTTTAAAGTGGGCAGAAAAATTCTTGTGTATGTATATTTGTGTGTACAGTCTGTGTATGTGTGTATATATAGATAATATATAAATATTTTTAAAGGAAAAAATTGGAACGTGTAGCTAGAAAATACAACAGCCTGTGAAGATTTCCCCTTCCCCCCACCCCAATATGGCCATAAAGGAGGCAAAGAAATGAAAGATACAGCTATTTAAAATCTAGCATTTTTAGAGGCTTTACCTTTAGCATAACAGTTTACTAAAGGCTTTTTTGGCATTGAGTCCTTCTCAGACTGCTGACTGGGTTTTGTAGTTATTGGCTTGTCTGGAATAGCATATCTGTGGCCATTAAAATGGCATGGACTGAATATTAGCACACTAAAGGAATGCTAGCTGGGTTCAGATGACATACACTCAGATTTAGGCCTTCAAGTTTATTGGAGGATCTGAAAGTGAGCTAGTTACAGTAGGGGTTGAATTCTAATTTTAAATAGTTCAGCTAAAATGAAGACATAAGGCTATTTTCTCCTAGATTAGAAATAGTTTGTCCAAAAGTAGTAAACTTTTTAAAAAACCAGCTCACCATCCCACTGATGCAGTTAACCATGTAATTTTTTTTTTCCTTTGGGGGGGGTAGGTGGCTTGCTTACTATGCTAATATTTTGGCAGATCTTCCAGGAAATGAGTATGTAGATAAGTGGTTTAAAAAAGAAAAGTATATGCAAATTATCTGTTTCTAAGGAACACACAGGCCTAAATTCTCATTTCATTTTTGTATTAAAATGCCTGAAAATGCACTTTTTTTTTTCCAAAAACAAAACAACAAAAATCCCAGAAAATGGATTTACTGTTTCTGTTTAAAAAAAAAATAAAAAAATCCTTGTTTGCAGTGCTCTATGCTTAACCAAAAAAATTTTAAAAAAAAAAAGGTAAAAAAAAGTTTAAAAAAAAAAAAAAAACAACAACTTGCACTGGCTTGTCTCAATTGTGAAATACCATCAGACTTGTTTGGATGGGGTGGGGCTTTGTGCCATCTGTCAAATGCCTGTAATTTTTCCAAATAAGCAAGTACATTCTGTTCAGGTGATAACTGAGCCTCAATCAAGCTGAATAAATAAAAATAGAAAAAATATTGCTTGAAATTTAAGACAAAAACGTTTCTATTAGTGAAATTTCTTTTTTTTTGTTTTTGAAGCACCCTGTTATCTAAAGAATCTCTTTGTAAGATTTTTGTAAAAATGTTTTGTTTTACAAGATTTTATTTGAAATTGTTTTTTGCAAGATTGTTATATTTCTGTATGAATGTATTTTTTATTGGAATAACATAAAAAAGAAATTCTTATCAGCAGCACTCGTCTGGTTCTCTCTTTCTCTGATCTAAAGATAATCATAACTTATTTTATTGTGTTACATTAACCTATTCCCTTCCCCTTGGGTCAGCTATTCTTGAGTACTTATGCCTTAAAGTCACATCATCCTATACTAGAAAGCAGGCAGAAGAACCTTGTTCAGCTCACAACCAGAAATTATTACATATCTTTTCTTGTCAAGTCCAGCAAAAATATATGCTCTAACTATATTTGGGGAAACGACGTTTGATTAATCCTCTTCCCTCTGAATTGAAGGATTGGAGTAATTGGCTTAGGGTGCAGAACTTGTATGCATTTTACCTCAGTACTGTTGATAGAACTCTCTTGTATTCTATCATCTTCATTCTTGTTAAGTGAACACACAAAATACAAGCTCTGCTGTGTAAAGTAGGATAGAGTAGTGGTGACCTGATGAGATGGAACAATCTATGGGATGAACTCACTGAGGGGAAGTGAACAAAAAGTTTTCCTTTCTCCTGGCCCTCTCCCATGGGTTTATTTGCTGTATTGGTGGTTTGGCTCATCTGTCAGTGATCTTCAATCAATGAGACTTTTTATCTTTCCTATGAGCTACAGTCTTTCAAATGAATGGCTCTTTAGAGCATGTCAAACATGTACAGTTGCTTTGGATACATGCACAGTTCATTTTGATGTGTGTCTATATGTGACCTCCACTTCACCAATTTAAACTTAAACATAGAGTAAAACAAAGCAGGAAAGATTGCAAGGGTATGTGGGAAGGAACTGACTCTGAGTGCAGCCCAAACTGAATGTTTCTTACTTTTAAATTAGACATGAACTAAAACTCATACTGAGGAGAAATAGTATTTGCATATTGTGGGTAAAATAAGCTAAGGATGAGGTTAGGGTGTCCAGGCACACATACGGGACCCCACGCCAGTCCCAAACAGGCTATGTAGCAATGGGTCTAGAAATAGACCTGAGAAGAGGTAGGAGATACCCCAATGGCAACTAGACCAATGTATGGCCTGAAATGATATGAAGCTGGATATGAGTCAACAGTGTGCTCTTGTTGCCAAGAAGGCTAATGACATTTTGGGCTGTATAAGTAGGGGCATTGCCAGCAGATCGAGGAACGTGATCGTTCCCCTTTATTCGACATTGGTGAGGCCTCATCTGGAGTACTGTGTCCAGTTTTGGGCCCCACACTACAAGAAGGATGTGGAAATATTGGAAAGAGTCCAGCAGAGGGCAACAAAAATGATTAGGGGTCTGGAGCACATGACTTATGAGGAGAGGCTGAGGGAACTGGGATTGTTTAGTCTCCAGAAGAGAAGAATGAGGGGGGATTTGATAGCTGCTTTCAACTACCTGAGAGGGGGTTCCAAAGAGGATGGAGCTCGGCTGTTCTCAGTGGTGGCAGATGACAGAACAAGGAGCAATGGTCTCAAGTTGCAGTGGGGGAGGTCTAGGTTGGATATTAGGAAACACTATTTCACTAGGAGGGTGGCGAAGCACTGGAATGCTTTACCTAGGGAGGTGGTGGAATCTCCTTCCTTGGAGGTTTTTAAGGCCCAGCTTGACAAAGCCCTGGCTGGGATGATTTAGTTGGGAATTGGTCCTGCTTTGAGCAGGGGGTTAGACTAGATGACCTCCTGAGGTCCCTTCCAACCCTGATATTCTATGATTCTATGAAATAGTATGCAGGGGCTGATGGTATTGGAATAATGAATTCCACCCCCACTCCATCTGTTTAGTGCCTTAAACAAATCCTGGTTGCTTAGGCTTTATGCAGGCTGGATTCATTTTACCATACATTTTGTGAATGATCCTAAAGAGAGAAAGTATTGTTAAGACTTGAGAGCTAGCTTCGGGAGCTAGCTCTGTTCCATACTTTCAGTGTTACCTTGGGCAAAACACTTAATCTTTTTTGTTTTTTAACAACTTCCTTTCTCTCACCCTTGGTGTCTTGTCTATTTAGATTGTAAAATCTTCAGGTCTGGGGTTGTCTCTCTGTGTTTGTACTGCGCCTATCGTAATGGGGGTCCTGATCTCAACTGGGGCTCCTAGGTGCTACTGCAATACAGTGCTCATGTAGGGATTATGGAATTCCAAACTCTCCAGTACGCAGTATAAAAATAAAAGCAATTTTAAGAAACTTGGGCCTGACCCTGAAGATTCTCTACCTAGGGACTTCAATAGGAGTTCAGCACAGAGGATCAAGTACAAGTTTTGCAGATTTTTGCTATTTTTCCCTTGGTTTGTTTGGTTTCTGAGCTGTGTCTTACTATGACTAACAATTGAATTGCTGTAACTGCACATTCTAAATAAAGGCTTTGATACTGTACCCTCTAGGCTGTTAAGATTCCACCCCCTTATTTCATACAAAGTGTGCTAGAGAAGTAAGTTTTGTTGAGACAAGGCAGGCTGGTGGAAGAAGTATTGTGAAACAAGGAAGCAGCAAAGCAGAGAGCTTTGGGGTTAGTGCATTTCAGCATGTCCATCTACTCCAAACTTACTTAACTCCAGATTTTGAAATACTGAACAGGAGGAAAGGGGAAGAGACTTTGGGGGGAAATATTCTTAAGTGTTTAATACAAAGAAGAATGTTGACCTTGGTTAGTATCCTCAGCAACTGCCGTCCAATATGAGGACTTCTAAACAGTGATGGTTAGGTATAGTTTTGTGTGTGTGCACACATGCATAGAATTGCTTTGAATTTAACATGAAACAAAGCACTCTTTTTTTTAAAATCATATGCTAAAAAGTTACTTTTTCCTCTCTTCAAAAACCTGGTCTCATTGAATATTTTGGCTGGGCACATGTTGTATATGACGTTGCCGCTTACTCTGCTTGTCAGAGCGTGTCGAGGGCAAACCATGTTTTATTGCTTTATCGTTAGAGCTTGTTTATAGTGCTGCTGCCTTTATCCTTGTTTTGACCTCTTCTGTTCCTTGAACTATTTTAGCTTTTTTTTTTAATTGCATGAAAAGCCACGAAGAAAAAAAAAAATACTGCAAGAGCCCCTTTATAAATCTTACTAACAACACTATCAAGATTATAAATAGGGAAGAGGAGAAAACAGCATAACGATCCTTATTGTAATATATACAGCACCATATGAGTCCATTGTGCTATGCAGACACATAAAAGAGAGTCGGGAACCAGTCTCCCTTACTACCAGGTGTAGTCAGTCCAGTTGGAGGCCCGATCACCCCTTGCACGTAACAGTGGTTAAGGTAAATTAGAACAGAAGGGGGAAGTTTTCAAAGCCAACGGGGAGCTGGGAGGATCTCTGTTTACTCAAGCCAGGGAGGGGAGGGGGTTTCCCCTCTGCTTTAAGAAAAGGAGAATATGATGTGCTTTCCCCTGCTCCCCCCTTACTTTAACCCCTTCATGGAAAATCCTACCTGTGGGGGTTTGAGGGAGGAAATCTCCGCAAGGTTTTCCATGTCAAGGTTTATTAAACAGTGCTCCATCAGGGAGCCAGTGTTCCCTCCCCCATCCTGTGGAACAGGTCATGGGGCCAGTTCCAGAAATCCTGTGTTCTGGACCTCAATGGGAGGTCACGGTAATCTGAACGATCTCAGGGTGCTAGCTGCTCCTCCACAATCTCCATTGGGAGATCAGTGTCAGGCTTCCCTTGCCAAGTGCCACCCACAGAACATTTCTCAAAATGAAGTCCACACTATGGAGAGAGGTAGTGGACAAATTTTACAGCCTAGACTTGTAATATCTTTTTGGGGGAATCTCTACAAGACTGAAGTGGGACAATGTGTATTCCCTATCGTCCCTCAGCCTCCTACTTCTCCATTACCAGCTTCCTCCTGACACCATGCCAAAACTCACTCATTGGATAGCAATGGTGCTTCAAAGGCAACTGAACACTGATGTGAAAGTGAATAAAGATGTGGGTGGAGGGTTCTTCATACACATGGATGGTAGGAGGTTTAATCAGCGCAGGATTCAGTGGGACTACCCTGAGAAGTAAGGTTTGGCATGATCAAACTTTGAGGTTATATGTTTGATCTGAAACCAAAGCCCATTGAAGTCAATGGAAAGACTCCCATCAAATGTTATTAGCTTTGGATCAGGTCCTTTACTATTAGAGCCAAGCAAGTAGTGGGGGGAAATTCTGCTAATAGTCATTCAAATTCAAAAGCAAGTTTTGATTCAATGACAGTCGCAATCCCATTGTGTCCATGCTCCACAAGCATTTGAGCACTTGAATTTTAC